CTAGAAGGAGAAGGGAAAGAGACGTTGCGGTAACCTGGTTTCTGGTGAACCTACAAGCTTGTTTTCGAAGGCGTGAGGCAAGTGACGCAAAATTTCAGTTATTAATCTACACCTCCCGCTTGCTGCGTTCTCTTTAGCCGCCAGTTGAATGTGGCCCCGGGTGCAAGTAGAGGTCTATGGGGCTACCATTGACTGGGACTTAGAGCCCCCTGAACTCATAGAGGGGGATCTGGTCGAGCTTACGATCCCTGGACGCAGCATTCGACACGATGACGGCCAGTTTGCGTGGAGGTCCATAATCCTGTCCGAGGACGTGTGGCTTTGGACGTACAGAGAGCACCGGCCCGGGCAAGGAGTGAGCGTAGTGAGAGCCTACTTGTATTTGGGACCGGGTGCGGTCAGGGAGGCCTTAGTGGGCCTCGCGACGACAGGGACTAATGATGCAGTTAGCAGGGCGTTACGCTACCTAGGGGAAGAGGTAGCTGCTTTCCGAGCGGAGGACGCGAGCGACCCGTTGACCCTATTTCACGGACGCCCTCCTCTTGAGATCACGGGCGAGCTCGTGGTAGCACGGGACGGGTTTTTCCCGTACAGCGTTAGGAGCCTGCGGACGATAGTTCCGACGTTCGTAGTAGAGAGCGTCTTTGGAGGTATTGGTAGAGTGGTCGAGACATACCTGGCCTATCAGGATCTCAAGATCCTGGCGAGAAGGCCTGCCGACCTAGACTACATCTATTATTTGCTTGCGACCGGTGGGCCTCGTTGGGGAGACGAGAGGGTTCAACTTATAGAGCTGATCCGCTTGATAGACGACGAGTGACCCCAGTCTTCGTGCGTTTGGGATTGGCTAGACCGTGAGCTCCGAGCAGGCCCCGAGTACGCGACTTGCATCGGGCGGCTCTTCTCAGACGACCGGGGGAGCTGGTGGAGTGAGGACACCGGGCGACCTCTGATATACGGCCATCAGTTGACGGAATACTACCAGACCATAAGACAGGCGCCATACCGCGTCGAGGACGAGTTTGACGACGAGGGTTGGGAGCGAGAGGACGACGAGGAACTGTGGGAACCAGACTGGGTCGATCCAGAGAGTGAGGTTGACGAGGAGGAGATGGACGTTATAGACGCCCATTTTCCCAGGATAGGAGTAGCGGTCCGGGCGTAGGAGGTAGAGGAGCGCACCAGGGCGACGGATGAGTGAGCTTGGCTACTGAACCTATTCGACCATACTGGACCTGAGTGCGAGAGTTGTCAGAAGGGTTAGCAACGTCGAGAGATGGGATGCATCGGAGGGAGTAGAGTGATGCTGACCGAGAGTAGGAGAAGAAATGAGGAGTGATTAAGTGGTCTGGTTAGCTTATGTTTTCTCACGAGAGTCCGAATCGTATAGTGTGAGGAAGCTTGTGGGACCCAGAGAGACGGCGATTGGATACGACATACCACTTCCTGTGGCGTTAGAAGAGGCAGGGCGTGTACCGATACGATACTTGGGAACGTGGCTCGCTGAGGGGCTCTTCCTATGGACAGTGATACTACGAGACGGACGACCCGAGAAGACTCATGATCTAGAAGGGGTCGAACATCTAATAGCGGATAGAACACACTATTTAGAGATAGGGCTAACGCTCGCAGGGGCGAGCAGGAGTTGGTGGAGAAGCGAGTTGTTGGCCAGAGTGATCGTTAATCAGCAATTGGCGAGACTCTTTGGAGGGAGGACGAGTAGGAGCTGCTTGGTATACGGTCCACCACATCCGACCCTCTACCCGAGAAAGGATTGGCGATTCGGAGTTCCTACCTTCGTGATAGGGCAGACCTATGGGAGCGTGGATCGTTTGAGGAGAGCAGTGGATCACACACTTTACGCGCTCTGGGAGGGCTTAACGCCCCGCTTCAAGGAAGTATACTACGCCATTTGTGTGAGGTGGGGGCCGCCCAGTAGAGAGACGCTTGACGGAATCATAGATGTTACGAGCTGGGTGGACTGTCTGAGGCCTATCGATCTGATTAGGTACTGCAGGAGACGGGCAGAGATCGATTACGCGGGGGTAGAGGATGCGAGATTTCTCTTCGAGGTCGCAGCTTAGGGAATGTCGGGAAGGATGGCCACGGTGATTGGTGTAGAAGAGCAACTGGTAAGCACAGGATCCACTGTGACAGTACTTCTCCGAGCGTACGTAGACGAGGACTTGACGGCTAGTGAGTGCAGACAACGAGCTAGGGATTTGATCCACGAGCGTAGAGCTGATGTACTGGTGCGAGTGACCTTCCAGACCTCGATTTCCTATGATGTGATGATATGGTCTCATGGTTATATGCGCGCGGAGCACTACCACGATGAGACAGTAGCGGAGGCTAGAGCGAGGGTGAGAGGGTGAGCTGGAGAAAGATGTAGACTGAGTATGGAAGAGGAGAGTGAGGCAGTCGGAAGAGTGAGAAAGCGCGTTAAAGAACCACTCTTGAACCAGGTAAAGAAGTTGGGGGACAAGTTAAGGGAGAACTGATCGTGTCAAGACGAGGGCAAGTTGCGAAGGGCTGAACTCGTGACGAGAGAGTTAGAGAGTCTGTTTAGGGAGGAGAGAGAGATTATCCAGGCACGGAGATCAGACTTTTTGGAGAAGGTAAAGGCTAGAAGCGTATCACGTGAAGAAACTAATAAGCGATCTGCAGAGAGCGAGACAACGGAAGACAAAGTAACGCAGGGGAGTAGCGACAGGACATGAGCGGGACTGCACTACACACGACGGATCGGTACTCATTACATGTGGTAGGGAGACTGGACGGACCATTAGTGTTAGTGATCATA